AACAAGAAAGGAATGCATCAATGGTTGTTAAAAGATCAAATAATTACTTCCTGGATCAGGAAACCTTTCAGTTTCAAGCTGATGAAGGCTAGGAGAATATTCTGCTGAATGATAACTTATACAATTTCCTCTTGTTCTGCTCTTCCATAACTGAGCATTGTTGTCAGCCATTGCATCAGTTACCATGAAGGGAAACACAGTTTTACTCTTCTGGGCTCTCACCTGGTTATTCACTGACAGAATCCAAGGCTGGAAAGAACAGGAGTCGACAGGGTTTAAGGACTCTAAACAAAACCCTCAGTAGTCCAGTAACCTTTGTCAGACTGAAGTGTGTCTTGCTTAATGGGGAAGGCACCTGCTGCAATGAATTCCACAAGGAAAGGGAGCAGAATAGCCAAGTCATCTTTCATTCTCTCTTTCTTTGGCTAGCTGGATTGAGTTGATCAAACTGTCATGGTAAAGCATACTTTCTAACTGTCAAATACATGTAGCATCTTTCTCAAAGTGTCATCTTTTTTTTCCTACAAAGAATGCTTAAGGCTTAGGAAGCCAACAGTCTTGACCGTCACTTACCTTGTGTAATTGTGCTCTCATACAAATGAGTCAAAAGGAGGAGGACACAGAAGGTTTATCTAGGATAAGAAATCCTGACACCATAAAAAGACATTGTTAAAGGACAGATTTCTTTCAGACTGCTACAGCAACACTGTCCTTTTAAATGGTTACTGATGTACTCTAACAGAAAAAAAGAGCAGCTGCAGTGTTGCTAAAATATGAGCAATGTGACCCAAAAGTTCCTGGGCTATTTTCCTAAGGTGTCAGCAAACAAACGTACAGACATAAGTCCCCAGGAGTTTCTCTGTAGATGTTCTTCTCTCCCTCTGCCAGACAAAAGTGCCCCAAGGGAGCAGTGACATACTTATGGCAGGGGCCTCAACAGGAAAAAGTCAGGGCTCAGAGCTCTCCTGAACAGCTGGTCCCTCTGCATGCACCGAGCCAGCAGCCAATGATGCTAAACCGCTGCTTGAGAAACTCACAGGAGAAAGCCCTTTTTGTTTGTCAGGATTCATAAAGTGATCTTTCCTATACAAGGAATGGGTTTGACTGTCAAAATTATGTCTGATTTGTGGGGGAGGGGGGAAAAAAACACAGGGTTTTTTTTGTCCTTTTAAAAAGAACCATTGATTCAGTATCACTATTGCAAAAGTAGAAACAGGAACAAAATAAAAAGGAAGAAGACTGATCAGAACAATCTTAACAGTGTTACTGATCATAAGGATCTTCAGTGCTGGGGAGAAACCTGGGGCTGTTCAGCCTGAAGAAGAGAAGCTGCATGGAGACCTCAGAGAAGCTTCCAGTGTCTGAAGGGGGCTACAAGGATGCTGGAGAGGGACTCTCCATTAGGGACTGTAGTGATAGGACATGGGGTGATGGGTTCAAACTGAAACAGAGGAAGTTCAGGTTGGAGATAAGGAAGAAGTTCTTTACTGTGAGGGTGCCATGGTTTAAGCCCAGCCTGTCACTCAGAACCATGTAGTCACATTCTCACTCCCCCCCCCCCCCTTCCTCCTCCCCTTGCTCCCGGAGGGATGGGGAGGAGAATCGAAAGAATATAACTCCCACGGGTTGAAATGAGAACAGTCCAGTAACTAAGGTATAACACAAACCACTGCTGCTACCACCAATAAGAATAATGATAAGGGAAATAACATGGGAAGAGAATACAACTGCTCACCACCTGCTGCCTGATACCCAGCCCAACCGAGCACTGAACCACCCCTTCCGGGTAACTGCCCCCAGTTCTACATCCTGGGCATGACGTGCTGTGGTATGGAATACCTCTTTGGTCAGTTTGGGTCAGGTGTCCTGTCTCTGCTTCCTCCCGGCTTCCCCTCCTCCCTGGCAGAGCATGAGGCTCAGAAAGTCCCTGGTCAGAGTAAGCATGACTGAACAGCAACTAAAAACATCGGTGTTATCAGTGCTGGTCCCAGGCTGAAAGTCAAAACCACAGCACTGCACCAGCTACTAAGAAGGAGAAAAAATGACTGCTACTGCTGAACCCAGGACAGAGGGTGCTGAGGCGCTGGCACAGGGTGCCCAAAGAAGTGGTGAATGCTCCACTCCTGGCAGTGTTCAAAGCCAGGTCGGACAGAGCCCTGGGTGACATGGTCTAGTGTGAGATGTCCCTGCCCATGGCAGGGTGTTGGAACTGGATGATCTTAAGGTCCTTTCCAACCCAAACCATTCTGTGATTCTATCATTCTATTATCATAAATACTAACAGAATAATTTCATAGAATAGTTCTAATAATATAGAATAGAATAATTTCTCTAACTAACTGAATAGTGAACTTCAGATTTCTCATCGTGGCTGCACTTATGAAAGCTAAGGAAGCCTACCTTGAGTATCATGCAACTCAAACAACTTGAATTGGGTGGCTGGTGTTGTTTCTTTTGGTTCCTTCTTGATCCAGCACAGAACAAATTCTCTGATGACACGTTAAATGGAAATTCTGCCAAGTCATTACTAAACTTGGGTTTTTATTCAGTGTGCCAATCAGAGTATTTTGTAACTAGTTCCCTAGCTTGCTTTCTTCCCTTTATTTTCTCTGAATGGTCATGTAGAGCTGTTATACACTGAAGCCCAGCTGTTCTCTATCTCCCTGAAGTATGTAAGGCAGTTTTATATGATACAGTTTGTTGAGGTAGTTGAAACTTTAAATCCCCTGGTATTTTAAAATCCATTTGCATTGCAGTTCAGAATAGAAAAATATGTTCACTATGAACATGGAAATTCTGTTTCAGAAACCTCCAAAATATAAACGTGAAATTTGCTGTATGCCATTTGCTGTCAACCTAGATTAAGAATAGTTTGTAATCACCAGAAAGCATACTTGTTCCAGTATAACTCAACACAGGTTCTTCCTGCAGTTGTACTGCTGAAGAGTTTTAGAAGCTTCATAATTAGTTTCACAACTGATGATGAAGAGTAGAGCATTATATTTTTCCTAGGGCTTTCATTAGCATCTCTAGGTTCACTTCCTTCAAGACCAGGATCTCTTAGCAGAAGATTAACTTCAGTTTTCCAATGGAGTTTTACTGTAAGAACATTTCAGTTCTTTCTCCACTTAAGCGATTTATATTAAAATGTGTCTAGATTTAGTCAGCTGTTGATAAGATTTGTGATTTTTAGTAGATAGGAATATTTAACTATATATAGAAGAAATTGCATTGTAGCATAGATTATCACGATGAATCACATTTCAAACCAGACTAATGCAGAATAAAACCAGAGTAATGCAATTAGAACCACTGTAGTTGCTCTAGATTTAAATCATCAGGACAGATAGCTATCTGCACTCATAAGCAGTGTCTCATGTAAAAGAAGGACAAAAATGTATGTATAATATATATATATGCAGTAAGAACATCCATATTCAACCAATCTAAAGGTCCGTCTCACTGATATCCTATTAACTTTAGTGCTTGCAAAACACCTAAGTAAGCATGCAAGTGCAAGAATACATTTACAGCCATTTCTCCTAGCAATAATATAGGGCTCATCCAAACCCAGTGAGATGGTATGTGACATCCTTCAATAGATTTCCTTTTTCTTCCATGGATTTGTACAGTTTCTTCTTGTACCCAGATTTTGGTATCCCATACATCATGCTAGAAGGAGCCCCAAAGATTAAGTACATCTTATGTGAAGAGTCATCTTTCTGCGATTGTTTAGAAGCAACCCCTGCTAGTTTCAGTTGAGAGCACAAAGAAGACACACAGTACATTCTAATGGGCAATGACTCCATCCTCAAGGGGAAGGATGGCATGGTCAAGTAGCACTGAAATCTTGTAAAACAAAACAACAGATAAACTCTATCAATCCTTTGTGCTTTTTCTAGGGTAGTTTCAGAGGATAGTGCAGGCTAAGAAATCTCTGCTTAAACTGCTGTAAAAGGTCCCAGTGAGCCTCAGGATAATGCAGTATCTACCAAGTACAGGAGTGATTTCACACATGCTTTATGAAAGTCTCTGTGGGACTTGAGAGGTCTCTAAACTAAAAATTGTCCCCATCCATGACTGTTTTCTGCCTCAGGGCTCCTACCGGGGGTCTGCAAGCCAAGTCCCATTGATACTCTTGGGCTCTAGCTTCACCTGTTGGAAACCCTGCCATAGCAGCAGGCACATAGACCTTTAATGCCACAACCCATCAGGTGGTAGAAATTTATAAATCTGATAATCTCTCTTCAAATAAGGCCTGGCCACCTTCTAAAGAAAGAGACACCCAGAAGTGCTTTCTATCAGACTGAGATGATCAGAAATAACTTGAGTCATTCTCCTAGGGTAATGAGGGGGAAGAAAAGGGAGAAGAAAACATACTATAGCTTAAACTACAGGGATGAAGTTGCTTTGATGTATCACCTGCCTTGGTTGCAGCCCAGTCTCCCTACTACAGACCAATACTCCTTTAAGGGTTGGATCCAGAGTAAAGATCATTAGAAACCTATTATTATTTTTGCCTATACTGCAATCTTCAGTTGTTTTGTCTTCCTGCTCCTTAGGAGAGCTTGGCTCCAGGGTATCTCTAGAACATCTCAGAAGGTAGGTGCACTTTGGAACATCTCAACATATCCGTTGGATTGTCCCCAGCCCTGCTTCAGTCTGGGGTCTTTAACATGCCTTCTGCATCTCTAATTCATATCAATTTCTGATTCATTAATTAGCATTGCTATGAGACCCATATAAAATCAAACATAGCACAAACAACAGTAAAAAGGGTAATAAGATGCTTTGTTTGAATATCAATATCACTTTGGCTTACTTTTAAGGACTCACTAAGGATGTTATTTCTAAGCCAAAATACCCTTTAAAAGAAATTATTTTCATAGGCCAGACCTGAATCTGCAACTTAAGATCAATTTTTCTTACCATGATCAGCTTCTTAAACTAGCTCCTAACCATCTTACAGTGTGATAAAAGACTTAGGTAAAGGCTTTTACCTGTGGAAACAGTAGCCAGATCAACCCTTGACTGAGACTGCGATGATTATGACGATGAACAGCAGAACAGCCAACGCAACAGAGAGAAGGCAGCACTTCATCTTCCTGGCTCGTAGCTAAGAGAAGAAAGACAAAATACACGGTCTTTTAATGGGAAGATGGTGAGTAAACCTATGAGGAAATGTTGCTATTTTTCCATTGGTAGGACTAGTTGAAAGAAATCAATACAACATGGAGATTTTGTCTATTTTCTGGACTGACTCATCCTTCTGGACAATCCAGTCTTCCTTTTCATGAAAATCCCCCTTAAATACAATCACCCTCCCTGTACTACTTTCTTCTTGCTTAAATCTTTGTGTCACACTAGATTTCCAGACTCTGCTTGGAGGGATGGACTTGACTATTCAGTCTGGGCTCAGTCTGGGGGTGTTAAATCTGCTTTCTGGCTGCCAGGAGAAGACTGTCTCCTGTGAGATAAAGAGGTCTCTCTTCACCCTGCTATGCAACAAAATCTAGCCAAGCGATAAGGCAGGCTGTTTACAGTGAAGGCAAATGTATCTCCAGCACTGACCACCCTGATTTCCTTCAAATTAAGATATGGTAAAAGAGAATCCACAGGGTTTTAATTTTGATGTTTGTTTCTACTTAAACTCATCAGCCTTCCCAGTGACCTCCATAAACACTATGTTGTTTGTTCCCATTTAAAATCTTGTGCAGATAGTTCAATTTCTCTTCCTCCTTTTTGGGTGGATTAGAAGAAGGGTTTTCCCATGATCCCACAGTGCCAATAATCCTCTTATCCAGCACACACATGAAAAGTAACTTCAAAGAAACAGTTAACTCAGGATTTCTTCTTGAGACCAGATCAACTAGTCCTGCAGCCAGCAGACTTGATAACACCATCTTGACATGATAAACCAATTGCTCGTGTCCAGAGTTATTTGCCTTGCTTAAAACTGAAGCAGTACTCTCACAGGAGAAAAGTATGTAACTGTTGTTACGTACTTTTCCTTCCTCTCTTCCTCCAACTGCTGTAATCAGGTCTCCCAGTCTGCTTCAGATCTTTGGTTAACCAGTTTACATCACTCTGCACCACACTGCATTTCCCATAGAGACATAGTTCCCCAGCTGTTTTGTTCCACAGATATTTTGGCCTATGTTTTATGTTCTACAGATGTTCTGGCCTCATACACTGTAAGTGACAGGAGACTCATCTCCGTTGGTGCTCCTAAGTCCAGTGCTTCGTTCCCTCATAACCCTTCCAAGGCCCATCCGTGTAGAGCTGGAGAAGTGTTTCCAGCAGGGAACTGTGATGCACAACCACCAACCAAAGTGGTGTATTTTTATCAAAATGTGGATTTCCAGATTATTATTTTTAAACAAATTAAAATGCTGTGTTGTCCTGCCTCCATAGCAGATAAGCAGTGATTCATCTTGGCTCTCTGTTTACTTTTAAATTCACAGAATCATAGAATCACAGAATGGTTTGGTTTGGAAAGGACCTTAAGATCATCCAGTTCCAATCCCCCTGCCATGGGCAGGGACACCTCACACTAAACCACGTCACCCAAGGCTCTGTCCAACCTGGCCTTGAACACAAACAGGGATGGAGCATTCACAGCTTCCCTGGGCAACCCATTCCAGTGCCTCAGCACCCTCACAGTAAAGAACTTCTTCCTTATATCCAATCTAAACTTCCCCTCTTTAAGTTTTAACCGGTTACCCCTTGTCCTATCACTACAGTCCCTAATGAAGAGTCCCTCTCCAGCATCCTTGTAGCCCCTTTCAGACACTGGAAGCTGCTCTGAGGTCTCCACGCAGCCTTCTCTTCTCCAGGCTGAACAGACCCAACTTTCTCAGCCTGTCTCCATACAGTAGGTGCTCCAGTCCCTGATCATCCTCGTGGAATCCTCTGGACTTGTTCCAACAGTTCCATGTCCTTTTTATGTTGAGGACACCAGAACTGCACACAAAACTCGCACAAAAATGTTTTCATTTGCTTTGGAAAAAAATGGGTGCTTTAAATAAATCATTCCATGTGCATGTGTTAAGAAGGATCTTTTTGTCAAGTGTGATAGAAAGGAGTGTACAGAGGGACACTGTTCTCCACCTCCCCAAAGCCCTCCTTGGGGGCACCCATGCGCCCACACTTTTCAATCAGTCTGCTGTGTCTCCTGGGGACAATACAAGTGTCCAAGAGCTATGTCTGTTTAACAGATTATTTCACCTCCAAAGTGACGTTTCTTCATAGTGGCTCTGCACTTGTAGCTTTCATGTCTAGCGGGGTAACTACAGTGCATTCTGAAAGCTGAGCGCATGAGATGACAGACCTGCTACAGCATCCTCTTTGATTTTAACCTTGATTAATTCCAGGTCAAACCAGGAAACCTGTGTTCCCAACTGCACCTAGATGGCCTTGTCCACCTCTAAAATGCCAGAGCCTTTGTCTGATCAGCAGAGGATGCTAATGGGTCATTTAGCTTCCAGCAGCATTCTCAGTTCTTCCTAGTGAGAGTTTCAAAGGCTGCAGTTACCATTCCACATGGCTTCTTCATCAGTCCCTTTGCAGAGAGACTCCATTGTTTTGCTCCTTCTAGCACTGCAAAGCCCTATTCACTCTTTTTTGCACTTTATGTAGTCTCTTCCCCTGCCCTTTTTTTCTTGTTTTTAACCAACATTAAGCTAGCATAAAACTCAACCATAAGCAGACTAATACGAGGGTAGGCGAGATGCAGACAAGCTTGCATTCTGGTATCTGGTTCACGTTTTATGACCTTGCCCTGGCTGGTAAGTCAGGATAATGATTCCTGCTCCGTTTCCAACATCTCTTAGTGGATTTACTACTACTGTCCTGCACAGCCATATAGTCTGTTGCAATAGTCTCCCATTAAGTCCTAGTTCTTTCTTTACTTTATATTTCAATAAGGAAAGTGTTCAGTTCTTTGAGTCCTTTTAGTCTCCACCCATAAATCTGTACATGCTGGAGGAACAGTAAAAACAGCAGTAGAGCCCTGCCTGATCCCACAAGCTTTCCTACACACACTGAGGAAGAGTGGCTGTATACCTCAGCTTCTTTTTGTCACTTAGGTGGAAAAATACTGATATATGAGCAAAAGGCAGCAGTTCTCCTCAAGGTACCAATGCACATGCTGCATCAGGAAGAGCTATGCAAGCATCCCTTTACATACAACTTGGTGCAAAGAGGCCCTTATAACCCATTCCCTTCCCTTATCAAAGGAGAAAGATGTTAGCACAGAGGATGTTGGACAGATCGTTCTGTTCATCAGATAGGATCTGCAGACTGTGGTTATTACATAAATATACACCAACAAACAGTATACAAAATAACATTACATAAAACAAACTCTGGCTATTATCCCTTGTTTAGGCTAACAGAATCCGATTGCCAAACTGAGATCATAAATGGTGTCTTAATGCCATCACTGTCAATCTTGAGGGAAGTGGGGAGACAAAATAAACATGCCCCTACATCTTTAGTAATACAAAGGCACCGACAAACAGCGGGAGCACATCAAATCAGAAACATGATCACTCAACAGCTAGGAAATACTAGAGTTTGTGTTCCATGTGTATGCACATATAGGCAGTATTTCGTTCCCCTCCCTCTCAAGCAGAATCTCTGCCTTATTCAATAAATGAGTTATTATTATGCTACATACACCATGAATGTGGGAGTCCACATTCACATGACACCATGCAAACCTTTCACTTACTATAAAAGTTCTAGTTTTTCCCCATGGGAGTTCCATGACAACAGAATTATACAATTAATACTTTCCATCTTTAATAGAAATGCAGAAATGGGTTTATGTCTGTTCTAAACCACAGAACGAGAGACACATGACAACAGCAGAAGTATAGCTGATCTCAAGAGAACTCCAATTCACCAATGTGATTCATGGTGCCATCACTTGAATCCAGGTTAATCTACACCTACATGGAAATGGTAAACCTGTAACGGGATCATTTCTCACTAGGGCAAGTTCCTTACTGCCCTAAAACAGGTATTACTAGGTTTCAGACACAAAATTACTAGTCTCAGAACAGCAGAGCCACAGCCACAAGAAATGTAAGGATCAAAAAAAACCCCAAACACAACAAAAAACCAAACCAGCTATAAAATGAATCATTTATTTTATGACATAATTCTTCCGGGAGCTTTGTGGTTTTACCATTTCCCACACTTCTGACTAATCCACAGACACTTTCAGTCGTCTTTTTCCAGCTCCTTCTCCCTTCAACTGCTGAAGATCTTCCTTTTACACTGTGCATTAATGTTACTCCCTGTTCTCCTTGACTTTCCTGGTCTCCAGCACAGGAAGCTCTGAGGCACTGTGACCTCCTCTCGGTTCCTCCAACCTACACCCATTGTTCTTTGCAGGAGTAAAATAATTTTGCTCAGCATCTCCCACTTGAATCATAGAAACACAGACTGGTTTGGGTTGGAAAGGACCTTAAGATCATCCAGTTCCAACCTCACTGCCATGGGCAGGGCCACCTCACTCTAGACCATGTGAAGACCACTTGTAGCATACTTAGATGCTTACCAAAAAAAAGACATACTTAGGACTATGGACTCTTCATTAGGATGTGTAGCGATAGGACAAGGGGCGATGGGTTCAAACTGAAACAGGGGAAGTTCAGGTTAGATATAAAGAAGTTCTTTACTGTAAGGGTGGTGAGGCACTGGAATGGGTTGCCCAAGGAAGTGGTAAATGCTCCATCCCTGGCAGTTTTCAAGGCCAGGCTGGACAGAGCCTTGGTTGACATGGTCTAGTGTGAGGTGTTGCTGCCCATGGGAGGGATTTGGAACTGGATGATCCTCAGGTCCTTTTCAACCCAAACCATTCTGTGATTCCATGATTCTTTGACTATTGGCACAAGAGAGGTATCAACATTTGATGCATACTCTTGGTACAAACTGAATTTTGAGGGTCTTGTCTCCAACCTCAAAGTAGTATCAATGAAAAAAAGAGGATATAAGGGGTTTTATTTTCCGACACTTGAAGGTTTTGCCAAACACTTCTAAAGGTCACAAACTGCTTTTTCCAGGTTTTTTTTTTTCCTACTAAGTTGCAAAGCTCTGTCCACATAT